CTGCGCCCACGTCGTTGCCCACGTTGCCAGGAGAGACTGAAGGAAGGACGACAGGGTCTGTTGAAGATGAAACTTTTGATAATCTGAAATATCCATTCAAGCGTCTACTCGACCTCACTCACGTGTAGTTGAAAACAGTTTTCGGCCTTGCTTCCATGTAAATCTGATTTCTGATCTAGATGCTTCCATTGGCAACAAACTGCGGTTAACACCCCCAGCTTATGGAAAATTATCAACATGGACTGGCCATTAGCCGTCCTCGAAATCTTCATCTCTCGAAGCTCTGGTGCACCTCTGAGCGTTACCTGGGGTGACACAGTCCCTGAGCGTTCAGCGAGAAGGACACTCTTGCTCTTTCCAATAATCCGCAACATGTCTAGTTTCCAAGCAGACTTCTCTAATCTTGGTGGTCGGCACTTTGGTGCCCAGACATTACTGTCTCAAGCCCTTCCCAACATGCAAAGTCTATCTATGGCGTTTGCTGAACAAGATCAAATTGTTTTAGATGCTGATCTGTTCCAACGACACGCGCCTCGTCTTCGCAGCCTGTCACTTTTCAACGTGGCAGGCGTACTCTCTCCCGACGCGGTATTTTCCAGGCTGACCGCCCTGAGGATTCATTATTCTGGCACGCAACTCACAACCGATGAAGACCGACTCCCCATTTCTGCTATCTTTCTTATCTTGAAAGAATCGCTCGAACTTGAAACACTACAATTTACGCGAAAATTCGAACATTCATCTATGGAACTCCGCCATTCTCACTCCTCATTCAAAGTCCACAAACTTCGAAGTCTCATCCTCGAAGAATGGGAGATCGACGCGTTGGATCTGTTTTTCTCAATAGTCGATTTTCCCTCTCTCAAAGAGCTGAAAATTGCGGTTGCTCCTCGGACGACGGGTTCGATCTACAAGGATCTCGATATGCTCTTTTATCTTCATCATATCTCTCATAATGCGCCGGCCGTATTCTCCTCATATCGCCATCTTGCCATGAGCATAGATGACTTTGACGACATCATCATCAGTCTCTCATCCGGCGATACATCCAAGTCACCCTCCCCGCGTGGGATCTTTATCGGCCTAAGTCCGCCTGAAGATGATGGAGAAATGCTGGCAGATGAGTATATATCGTGGGCCACAGGCTTCGGCGCTACGATTCGAGCGCTCTCTCAATATTTTATTCTCCCTCAGTTGGTCAGCTTCGTATGTGAGGTCGTTGCTGATGAAGAAGAAGACTCTCGTGATTCAGAATGCTGGAAAGAGTTTTTCAGGCATTGCACTGCCCTAGAGGAACTTGAGATAACAGGGCCAGGTTCCTCCAGCTCGATACTCAGGGCGCTTACTCCCACCCTTGAGATCAAGGTCGAGAACAACGAGACTTCCGTACTATGCCCATCTCTAAAAGCCCTCAAACTTCCTGAACCGCAGCGCCCAAATCAAGGAGTTGTTCACGCCCTGGTCCACAGAAGAAGGTTGCGCGGATTCATGGTCCGACATTTGTCATTTGTCATATTGAAACGGGATAGGCGAGACGAACTCTGGATGGCTAAAGAGTCCAAACGGAAGCTATCTGAAGGACGCCACGTATACTTAACGAAAGAAGTGGGCTCACTGGTAATTAACCACGTTGATCCAAGACGGCTACCGTACCTGTGGTGCACGGGGCGTCACCAGCTGGAGTTGGCAGATGAGCAACCGTTCTATTACAAGTAATGTCATTATAGTTTAGCATCCGATTTATTCGTTGTAACTTCGTAGAACTCATGTATACCCATCTATTGTGCGTCCCCAGCATCCTCTCCAACATCGAGAGTCCAAGCCTCAATCTTCCTGGGCGCGCGTGAGAAAGCTTCCGCAATCCGGTAGTAGGCCACGCCTCTCCTGCAAGATGGTCTTCGGAGCCGTACTCAGCCTGTACCCAACGACTCAACTCTCTGATCCTGTAGCTGGATGGATGTTGAACATGCTTCTCTTGTCGGATCATCCATGGTCATAGGGTTTATCCTGGCTGCTCTTCTCCCCGGGTGTAAGACTTGTCATCCCAGTATAATGCTGTCGATCATCTGGCTCTCCTCCGATAGTGTCTATTACATGGATCGAACTTGATATACCGCAAAGTACCGCCATTCTATTTGGAGTAACTGTGGGTGCATTTGCGGTCTATGGTACGCCTTCAATAATCTGCCGTTCAAAATTTAATCACAACTAACGAAACTTTAGCCGTTCCTACACTTTTTTCCCAGTCGTTTGCTGGAGCTACGGGAGGGACAAGCTACAATTGCACACGTTCATCAAGGAAAGCCATCAGACGAAATCAGAACATTCCATCGGAAATACCGCACGGAACCGTTGATGCTGCCTTCAGCATAGAGCGGGGCCAACCAAGTCAAGGAGAACGAGGAGATAATGTGATGTTCAAGTTACAGGCAACCGAACAAGAAATACTGAAACGAATTGAAAACGCCGAAGAAGAACTAAACCGAAAGTATCGCGTACTTTCCGATAATTTCGATCAATTCGAGCAGTTCCTCAATCAAAGACCCTACGGCCATCCTCCACCTTCTCCTCCTGCAGATTCACCTCCTGATGGTTGGCCCCGGAGTGCCCAGGAACAGATACCACCGTCAGAACGACCGGGCGGCCTTTTTGGACTTCGGTCCCCTGTTCCTATTCAAAGTCGGATGCCACCACGAGGGGAACAGATCTTCAAAAGCACAGCTGAAAATCTACCGTTTCTTAACGGAGATGCATCAGATGCTTGAAGATAGAGCAGAACTCAGAAATCTGAGAGACTGTCGCAGAACGGCGGACGCGTCTCCTTCGGCAGAGCCCCGATATCGATAGCCTGATAGTGTTCAGGCAGAATTTTTCCTTCCGTCGAAGAAAAATATTTCGATTATATACACCGTTGTACACACTTTACCTTCCACAGAAATGTAGCGTCCCCTGACAGCAAAGTTATTTTGATAGAACACTCGCAATTTTATTTTTTGCGGGGACATGATCATGAACATACGAGTACCCCTGTTAGAGTTCGATTCTGTGTATCAAATTTTCATTTTTATAGTCACAAAACCCTCCGCCGCCCATGTACTGTAGAGGATTTCCAGCACTTGGTCCGGGAAACATTTTGTTCGCCGGTTGGCATGTGCATTTTCTCACGCAACCCCATACCCTAACCCTCGCTACCATCATGCGCATGACGAAATGTCCAACAAGACCTCAGCATGCCATTTTCAGTCGATGCTGAACGGAGCATCCTCATAGTGTTCTCTATTGCATTCGGATATCTATGTTCCATTATAATCCCAAATTGTGAGTCTTCGCACCTTCTATATATCTAGATACCAACAGTCGTCCTCAAAGAGCTCACAAATCCTCTAGTAACAATCACATGGAAGGATATAGACGTACCGCAAAGCAATGTCTTGCTTTTGGGAATTCTTGTAGGCGCGTTCTTAGTGCACGGTACGTCATTACTTTTTGAAGACTATTGTTGGTTTCACAGCTGTTTGCGCCCAGTAATCCCCATTTTATTCGATCAGAACAGTACGGGAAAATTGCAGGCTTCTTTCAAGAGCTCAGCCCCATCCCCATCCTCGAATGCTTTCCAAGTCGGTGAACAGGAGACACTCATAGCGCTGCGTGAATTGCAGGCCGCATCACAGAGCGCACAGCTAACCGCAGAGCAGTCGTTGAAAGAAATTCAACACCTTGAGAGTACGAGAAGTACCCGCCTCGGTAAGTCGTATCAATGTTCAGATAGCGAGCGAGACCTTTTGAACTCTGTTATAGATGTGGTGGAAGCAAGGATGGCAAGCCTCGATCGAAAATTTGAGTTCATGACCCGTCAACTCGATGCGTTGAACCAGTCGATCGGAGTAACGAACGTCCCCTATCCCCCTTCAGTTCCTCCTCCACCAGAACCTGATGCCAGTGCGTGGGATGCCTGGGGTGCTCCGGCAGCTCAATCATGGGGAGCCCAACCCGCATGGAGGGCCGTTTCCAGTCAACGTCACTCAAGAGCCAAACGTGCGAGACGGGCTCCGTCCGATTCACATATTCCTACTGAGAGCCGCATGCCTCCTCGAGGTGCTCAAATATTCAAGAGTGCCGCCGAGAATCTCCCATTCGTACAAGGTGATGCGTCGGATGCCTGAGGTGTGCGTGGCCGAGTGACGAAGGCTTAGAAGTTACCCGACGGGGGTTAAGATGGCACGTGGATCGGTACCCATGTGCTCGAGGAAGATCGAGAAATTGAAGGCTGCTCGCTCAAGATTCGATGGGACGTGGCTAATATGTTGGTCACCAACGGTACTTCTCAAATGCTTGTACAAAGCCGGACTTGGACTCTGCAATAGTGCTAGTATCATTTCTATTCTTGGTCTACCGAGGGTGTACGGCACCTGAATTGAAACGTCAAAGGTTCTGCAATAAAAGACATCAGAATTTTCAGAAGCTCTGCGACGGACCTGGTCTAACTACTATCCTCAGAATCAGCATGGCACCCGCTCCGGTGAAACAATTCAGATTGCCAGATCCCTCTGCGGACCGACGACATCTGATCTCAGGAAGACATCGATGTTCTTGGTTGGGTTCAGTCTAGTACAATTTCGATCATCAAAACCGCGTCAAACCCACCGTTCCGATTGATCGTGTTCCTGTCTTCGGCCCACCGAGGAAGTAAGCGCTTGGAAGAATGTAGATCGTTCATTTATAGATTCAATATTGTCAATCAATGAGCAGGAGACAAGGCACATTGTTGGATTCTTCAATTTGTCGCAGAGCTCGCGGGACACCGGTCGGGATGGGAACGGCAACGGACTGCTAAAAAAAGGTTGACCACACGAAACAGCCCCAAGGATAACCGATGGTGCTCTGCTCATTCACTGCTCGAATCAAGCAACAGGCACCGAGCGTCCCTGCACGCTTGATCATGAAGAATGTGGGTTAAAGGAATATCGGTAGAGTGGGGAATGAAAAAGGAGCAAAAGAAGTGCCCGAAGCAAGGCTCGAACTTGCGACCTCAGGATATCAGGAGCGGACGCTCCCTCATACGCTGCCATATGAGACCTGCGCTCTAGCCAACTGAGCCATTCGGGCCGATGAGGTGTCAAGACTTTCAGTAAATATGATCGATTTCCAAGCCTCGAAGAGGCCGAAATTGCGAGCCCGCCAGTCGGATGCTCCATTCTCTCGACTCCGGCCACATTGGTGCTGACTACCAATTCGATTGTACGACGTTTACATGGCTTGATACCCCCCTTTGCGCATCAAGCTATCTCCAGCGATTAGATTACTCTTTGACATGGCCGGAATGTCACACTCCAGGCAGTGTCGGCTTTGATCCCGTCTCCATATCTTCGACCTCGAAAACGAGCGACCCATCTGCGACAGTGATCCGTGGCTCCGTCCGCTCAACCGGAGGGGCCGTAGCAGTCCGCACGAAGACCGGAACCATATCCGTCGTTGGACAAGTGCCTGGTAGTCATCAGACGCAGCCGGTGCGTCTCCCGTTCTCTCGGCGTTGCATTCTGATGTCCACGCTGATTGTTCCACTGTCCCCCAACAGTTCGAGATACAAACTGCAAACTAGTACAAGACAATAACTACGCGATGTTTTGTCGACACTGGTCCCGTTGATACATCAAGCGTCTACGGCCGCCGTTGGAACAGTTACAGTCCAGACGCCATTGATCTTGCGATTGGGGTATCGGTCCAACCAAGGGGCTCTCGAATATTGGTGACCGAACGCACCAGTAGGCATGATTCTTTTTCCAAGCTTCAGCCCTGGTCGGCCGCCCTCGCTTGCATCATCGACAAAAGCAGTACTACGACTCCCACACCAAACCAAAGAATCGGTTACCTTATCCAGAACATCGACCATATCTAGAGGCGGTTAAGATGATAAATCTTCTTTCATAATGAAGGGCGGCTAGTCGAGGTACGTTCGAGGCCGCTTGGACTCATACGGATAAGATCCACGAACTAATGCCTCAACTTAGCGGAACTATGACCGAACTGATGTCTGTCCATGACCCGTGACTCCTTCGTCTGGCGATTTCACCCCGCACCATAGCGGCAGCCGAGGTCTTTCGTTACTATAAGAACTGCTCTTTGATGGCATTATCATGTCCCCATCAACTGTGTTCGCCAATCCTCGAAGTTAAAAGAGCTTCATCGTCCACAGACACCGCAAAGCATCAGCGACATCCTTCCTAACAACTCCATCACAATGCGTGCCCCATCCCCATCCCGTTCTTCCATCGTCTCCTCCATCTTACAAGTGAGTCTCCCAAACATCGAGTGTTGAACTTCCAGACTTACCCCTGGTCCCAGCGTTCTCACGGAATCCTCGGCTCCAGCGGCAGCCGTAGACATCATCGAGAGGCCCAACCGTCAGTTACTGAGGTAAGCGCGCAAATGAGTCGTTCACTCGATCGACCTCTTTCTCACACTCCTATTTCATCAGACGACCTTCGACTCCTTGCACGATTTCTCAGGAGAGTACGATTGTCGCACCCCTCCCCCTCCTTATTCCGCCAATCTTCCTTTCGCAGCACCCCTCTCCGCGAGCGATCTTGCCCAGGCTCTGCGAGCTTCGGCCGCAGTCACGTCTTCCTCTGCACCACATTTACCTTTGAGAGGACGAACCGTGTCCGCTGCGCATGACGGTGATGATTCGGATGATTGTCTTGATGATGATAACCTGGCCTGGGTGAGAATACCCAGAAAATCAAGACGGGCATCCCATTCGTCATGATGACGAACTTGGTCTCTCCACTTCGGTGGAGAGTTGCTTGAGCATTCGCTTATTTCTCTTCCTCGTGATGAGATACTACGTACCCAGATCTTTCGATACCCGGACCACGAACTTGCCTATCATTCTTATCTTCTACGATATCCACTATCTATTCTCCACTATCTGTTAGCGATGATCATGTAATATCATTATGTCATTGTCTTCGTCGTAGCGCTTTAGAAATTTGACCATATACCTTGACATTCTTATGGTGTGTTGCGTATTAAATCGATATGCTTGGACCAGTGACCGACTCAGAAGAACCTATTGATTCCCGAACGACTGAACAAAATCGGCATCTAGGCAGTAATACCTATGGAGATATAATGTCTTGCCAAGGGTATACATAAAACTCATAAGATCGTAAACTCATGATAAGCGTCAACTCAGAATGCTTCTCTATCGTACACAGCACTCCACATCCCGCTCCGGCAGCGTCAAAACCATGAGCGTCTACCAAGGGCTGGTAGGTTTTCCCCAAGCCATGTTATCCTCATCGATGAATTCATGCTCTTCCAACAAAGGTCGCATGTTCGTGACGGGCTGTTTCCCCAGATAAGATAACGGATAAATCTTGGATGTTCATAATGGCTCACCGGGACGGTCTTGTAGGAAGGAGGATTACGATCTCCGCCCAAGGTAGATCGACGAGTAGGAGCCTTCTTGTGAGGTGTTGGAGGTGCTTGTGTGAGAGTGGCAATTTGCTAGCGCGCGCTCAAGGTAAGCGAGGAAAGTTGATTGTGGAGAAGGTAGAAAGGCGTACTTGTTCGTAAGGCTCAGTCTGAGATGGATCGAATGTGTGTCTCCGAGGTCGCAATGCCGTTTGAAGCTTCTATAATCGCTCGATTAATCAAGGGACCAGACAATGATATGCCAAGGAATGCACCAACGTTGAGAGGTAATGCGCGGCTCAACGACCGCCGAAGACTCACGATGGAGCCGGCCTGAGTCGCACGATGAATAAACCGCATCGCATCTTGAAGAAGGCTCGGAACCTTACCTCCGAATTAGAAGACTCTGCGCGAGATGGAGAGCGTTGGATAGGTGACATAGAAGGGGACTCAGTCGGGGAGACCATAGGAGATGTCGCAGGAGAGGTCATTATTCCGAAAGTTTGTCGATAAGGAGGTGGCGATTATCGTTGATGTCGGGCTAGTGAAAGCTCGAGAGCAGGTCTTGCGCAGAAGAAAAAGCGGGGTGGAAAGCCTGTTGAAGGGTGTGGACGTTCCTAAAGACGTATATATAGCCTTCAAGGGTGGAGGAAGCCGTAGGTCATCCTCGATGTTCCGACTCCGGGGGGATCACGTCCTTGATCACATCTAGGGCCTCAGGAAGAAGTCCAGAATCCGTTCGTTACAACACGGCGCCGTTCCAGGGGACTATGTCCAAGGGCCAGAATTAGGAGACGCCGTTGCTTCATATGTAACCATTCTGGTAAAATGGCGTCCCGCCCAGCAAGCCAAGTAAGAAGTATTTTTATACGTGAAAGTTTGCGACTGCGCACGAAGGCATTGGCTCCTGTCTGTCGTTCCACTTTAATTTCCCTTGCCGCTGGGTGGAATATCCATCCTGAAGGCCACCAGAATGCCGACCGAAATGAAGGCGCTGGGAGTTCGCCTTTCATCAGGCTTCAGGGCACCGCGCTGATCCTAAGACTGAAGGCAGTGGAACAGACTTCTTCTTCATAGATAAACCCGCAAATCTCTGGAGATGGGAAAGCGCGAGGCAAGCACCGGTGAAAGGCACTTCAAGAGAAGTGTTTTATCCGATATCCGACCCCGCTGTTTCAGTATCCTTTTCCTTCGAACTTGCACTCACGCTGGCATCTTGCTAGGTACCTCGTGTTTAGGCCGCCAATTGCTCATACCGTCACGCTGACGTTTTATCAGCCCATCTATACCTTTCTTCCCCACAAATTGCCTGTCACTTTTGGAGAAGAGGTGGTTACGCCCCTGCACTGATCCAGGATTCGCCGACGTCTGCGCAACCGAGCCCTCGGTCTTCGACAGACTCGGGTTAGACTTCAGCAGTTGGCCAGTCCATCAGTCGCCGTACGTCGTCCTACAACCTACGAAACCTGCGCTAAGGTCAATGCAGAGCCAGTTCGTCCCGTATTTCCCCGCAAGCGCCCACAACCTGGCACAGCATTTAGGTCAGATCCAAATTCTCCATTCACGTGCTCTTCAAGTTCAATGACATTATTACGCACACCGTACCGGCCGACTTCATTTCCCGCAAAGAAATAAAACTTCTGCTCCATGCTCTCGCAGCATCAGCGTCTCGCCCGCCGCGGTCATCTCGAAACTGGGAAGACTGATACTAAAGTGCATTATGAGGTCACCCACCTTATATTGTGATGGCGCACATCCACCTGCTCGACTGTTCTGGTACGTTTCATGCTGTAATCATCACGAAAATCAAGTGAGACATCCATACGTACCGCCCTTTAGACCCTGGTGCATCTTGCACTGTCTCCTGCGAGATCGTAGCTCGTTCGCAATGGGGCCTTTCACTGGAAGACAACCCCCAGGGCATCGGATCACACTGCATCGATACTCTCACGTGATTTATTTGCCACCTCGACGTATTCTCACGACTTTCGTGGTGTTGTATCCGAGTCGAGTCTTCGCTACAAACTCCGCACGAACCGACTCGCCGACACTGTCTTCTCATTTGACCCGTGCAACTTCGAATTGTCTCATTCTCTGCTCTCCGGAAGAACCCAGAGCAGCTTGAACTGATCGTTTTGCAATTTTGTTCAGAGCTGGGAAAGCGATCCCCAAACAGAGAGTTCATGCCACGCTTTTCGTATTAGGACCGTCCAAAATAGCGCGCCACGCGCCAGATACTTGTGGCCGCATCAGTCCTCGATCCGTACGACGCCTGCCCGACTGACGCCTTCACCTCGTCTTATGCTAAGCGGCTCTGGAGGGCCCTCGAATATTTTCGTGCTTATGAAGATTCTCAACTTGGTTTGTCAGCACATCCTGGGAAAATTGCAACGTTCCCTCGGGGATCCTTGACGGAACCGCGAATGTGGCCGCAGTCTAACCACTTCATGAACAACGCTAGTAATGATTGAGTGAACCCCAGGAAGTAAACATAACCATCATTATCGAAGAAAACTTATAAAAAGGAACCAAATCATCGTGAGTGGGTCGCTCTCTCCCACGAAATACATCGCTTTCCCCCTCTCTGCGTCATACATCACGATCACCTGAGTCCCTTCTTCCATTCGCTCGGCATCACTTCTATTATCATTGATTCATCGCCTCCCACGCTAGTGTCCTTCAGGTAGATG